ATTTTTCTTATATAGATTGTGGGTTTGTAGAAGTATTTTCATTTCCTAATTCATGTATTTGGATTTTTCACTGCATTCCAGGGAATTGATGTTTTAAATGGCATAGCATGGGATGCCAATGACAACCGCCTTTTCGGTAAGCTTTTTCTTTGTACATTATGAGACATGTTTCTGTCATGATTTTTCTTTGATTTTTTTTTTCACTTGAAATGCCATTGACATGTTTCTGTGGTCCATACTTTGCAAATGCTGAGTTGACATTATGAGACAAATTCTTTGTTTTGTAAGAACATTCTCCAAACATTACCTTGGTTATGTTAAATCATGGTTTCCACAAGGAATCATACCGTCTTAGCTGACCTCTTGTTTTATGATCTAAGTTTAATTGTCCACGTTCAAAATTTGATTGCAGTTACTGGAAAATTGTGGCCAAAGCTCTACGAAATCAAGTTGCATCCGATAAAGAAACATTTTGATGCTGGAGTGATTGAGCAGCTTTGCATCCCCCCAATATCATGACATGTCACTCTGTGATACTGAGTTGTATGTGCTCAAAGAACATAGTTTTAAACTTATGGTATGATTCTGGAAAGGAAAAGGAACTTTAGGGCCTATATGAAGTTTGGCTGCCACACAGGAAATACACACAAACTGTTTGTTAACACTTCTGCTTCCTGGGATTTTTTATGTAAAGTTTTTGAACTGTACAGCATGAGTTACCTGAGGAGCTACACGCTGGTGCATATAACTGTACAAGAAGCTACTAATTTCCAAATGACAGAATAGTTGCAGCAGAGTGGGTTTTTCTGGTTGAAGAATGCGATTGAAGTCGATTACTCTCCATCTCATCTGTGTCAGGCTATCACAATGGGCTCTCGCCCAGCAAGAAGCTATTCTACAACAGTGAGAACACCTATAAAAAAATTATATCCGTGATAATAATAAAGAAATCGAAACAATACTGTAAATTGGAATTTGTCGAATTAGTAAGGAGGCTAAAGCATTCAGTGCCCCCATTTAATCTGACATTTTCAACTCTATTCTTGGTTTCACAGGATAAATATTAAAAACTTGTTCAACTTGAAACCCGGATAAGGTCAAGCATTGAAACCCGGATAAGTTTTCTAGTTCAATGTATCAAGCCTAGCTGGGTTTAAGAACTTAATCTAAGAAATGCTAGAGATTTTTTCAGAAAAATAAATATTTTTTATAGTTTATTTTATTTTATTTCTATTCTATATTATAATGCTTTTCTAGTTTTTTCTTCTTATATTTGAATAAATAATCTTTTCCTATTTTTATTATTCATATTTAATATTATTAGAGTGTTTTAGTTTTTTTCTATATAAAAAGTTATAATAATCTTTTTGTCAAGTGGAGATATGAAGAAATAAAATTATGAAGTTTGAGTTTTTCTATATTTATAATGTTCTTAATATTTTAAGGTTTTGACTTATAATAAATTTTTTATTCTTCACTATTATCTCTTCATTATTGTCTGTGTCAATTGTTATTAGAATTTAATGGTGGTTATTTTACTTTGTTGCTTGTTACATAATAATCATGGTTAGAATAGATACAAAATATGATGTGCTTGTATTGGAAAGGATGTTGAGTTTTTTCATTGAATAAAATATATCTATAAATTAATATGTTGTTTTTATCTTAATTAGTTGTTGCATAAAAGTTTTATATTAGAGATTAATAATAGTGTGCTGTGAAATTCTTTTAATAAAAAAAAACATGAAAAAATAAAATAAAATATTTTAAAATTCTTTCTATTTTGATGGTCTTCGATTTTAACCTGTAACAAATCTTTATCACTCCCTCCATCCGTATCACAGGCAAAAATTGATTCACATTCACACTAGAAAAAGAGTTACCAATTGTTTTTTCAAGTAACTAAGTTTATTTTAGAGTAAAGCCTTTCCCGCTATTCCGCTGGTTAGTTGATGATGAATATGTTCAAAGATTGAAATTCAAAGTCATATGGCTAATCTCAAACTCTTCTTATCCCCATAATTATCGAAAACAAGAAATTCTCTTCAGTTTTCCATGGACTTCACTCCTTAGCTTCATCTCCTTCTCAAATCATGCCCTACAACACATCATCTATTGATACCAAGTTATCAAAGCACACCTCATTTTTTGGCATAAGATTATGGGTTCTAATTCTTGCTTTGATTGCTGTCTTCACCGTTCTGTTTTTAGTCATCATGGCTGCTTGCTTCATCTGTCTTTGTCGCCGAAAATCCAAACCTTTCAATCCCCATTTAAGGCGCTTATTGAACCCCATTTCGATGAAATGTTTTCTGAATTCTTACACTATTCCATCCAAGGATAAAAGGCTTCTGTCGCATCGGATTTCGGAGGTTGAAATGAACATTGAAAAGTTAGACCATCATCATCAGGTGATTTTAACTGATCAATGTTCTAATGTGAGCACTGGGCTCACAACTCGATGGAGTGGTACTGGTGTAGCTGATTTGGAGCCTACTGCTACGTACTCTTCTGTGGTTCCTGATGCATGGAGGGGAAACCGGATTGCTTTGAAAGAGATTGAGGTTGTTACGGATGGATTTGCTGACATGAATATGATTGGAAGTGGAGATTATAGTGTTGCGTTTCGGGGCGTGCTGTTGGATACTACCCGAGTGGCTGTAAAGAGGCTACTGAGTAACAGGTGCTCAATTTTGAATCTTTATTAGAAGATAGATGACTTATTGATTGCATCAAATTATGCATGCTAGATTACCAAAGAGAAGGAAATGGTGCATATCAGAATTTTTTTTAATTGCTTATGATTTAATGCATCTTCAGTTGTCAAGCTGAGGACTTCATAGCAGAAGCGGAAATGATAGGGCATATCAGGCACAAGAATTTAGTCAAATTGCTTGGATACTGTATGGAAGAAGGTTACAGGTAAATTTCTTTTCAGAAACTCTACTGTTTTACGCAAGATGAATTTTTCATTTTTCATCCCAAGGCTAATTAATTTCTCTTCAGAATCAATTATAAAATTTCATTTATCTCACTCTTTTTCTTGGTTTTTCCTTCTATTAGAATTCTTGTGAGCGAGTACGTTGACAATGGTAATCTGCATCAATGGCTTTATGGATGTCCTGAACAACCCAGCCCTCTAACATGGGCTATACGGATGAACATCATCCAAGGAATAGCTAAAGGGTATCTTGTGTGATCTTCTGATTCTTTTCAATTTATTTAACTGCTTGCTCTTCCATTGATGTAATGTTCTTTTGCTTCTGAAGACTAGCCTACCTACACGAAGATATCGAGCCAAAGTTTATTCATCAGAACCTAAAATCTAGCAACGTACTGCTTGATCACCAGTGGAATCCCAAGATATCTGATTTTGGGATTGCTAAATTCTTCGGCCCTCAATGGATCGACATAACAAATATGGAAACATCTGGGTGAGTTTCTCTGGATCAGCTTGCTTATGACATAGGAATTTTGCCCTGGTTACTGCAAGTGAACTTGGTAATTTGCGCTGACCATGTCAAGCAGGATGTGTTTGCAGTTATTTAGCTCATGAACACGAATATACTGGAGTTCTGAGTGAAAAAAGTGACGTTTACAGCTTTGGAATACTTATCATGGAGATCATATGTGCCAGGGCTCCTGTAGATCACAATCAGCTTCAGGTATAGATTTTTTATCTTCAAGCACCTGCGCTAGCTTTCCTTTCGGTATATAAAGAAATGTTTCATTGATCATAGAACTTAGTCATTGAATGCAGGTATATTTGGTTGACTGGTTGAAGTCTATGATTGCGAATAAGCAAATCATGTTTGTCGTGGATCCTAAATTGCCAGAAATTCCATCATCCAAGGAACTAAAACGAATACTTTTGCTTGCTCTTCGCTGTGTTGATCGTGATATAAAACATAGGCCTACAATGGGGGATGTGATCCACATGCTTGAGCCTCGTGACTTACTGCTTGATGATGTAAGAACAAAGAACATTTCCATCTGAAGACTTCAGAACATATTGGATTTATTATGTTGTTTGTATGATGCAGGATCGCCGAATTAGGAGAGATGGCTCATCTTGTCGATATAAACAGCAAGAGAGTCATATTGTTACCCAATTTGGTGTGGGTGATTTCAGTACACATGAGAAAGAGAGTAACATTAATCTCTATCAGAAAATCTTGCCGACATAAGAAGATTTTATTCCGAACAGATCATGGATAATCTGACTTCTGAGAGGTTTTAGACATCTTTTCAAGTTTTAGTTTACCAGTAACTGTACAGATCAAGCTATGAAATTTCTGTTCATCTGTAGTTACTCTCAAAATTAGCTAAATCAATAATTTTCTCCCTTCAGCTCATCATTCTTGATCAATAAAACATAGGGAGCCATTCAAACTGCACAAAAATTGCAGTCTTTTTTTTACTTGATTCACACATTTCTCTTATTTAGGACTATAAACATATTCTACAGTTTGTCCATGCTTATATAGGAAGATCAACATATTTTATTCGTTTCTCTTGGAGATCCATCATGGCTTAATGGGGTTATGATCTAGCCAGTGGCAGAACAAGTTTGGAGCCTTTCTCAATAGGAAGTTTATCTTCTGGGAAAGGACACTCCATGCTTTTCTTTGCCATGGCACTACATGACTTGGGAGTCGCATTGCTTGAAACTGCCGATATGTCAGTGCAGTTCCATGCTTGTTCGTTATGTTTCTTAGCCAAGTTCATTATAAATGCCAATTCATATAGAAGGATTTTCCTCAACAAGTCCTAGTTTTCCTTGAATAGTTATGTTTTCATCCACTTCATCTTCGTAGTTTATTCTTGTGATCTCGAGCAGTGCTTTTGCATCATATCCCTCATCAGCATGTGACGCATAAGAGCCTATCATCGAAAAGACGAAGTTCATTGTCTTCAGGGTCATTCTTCTTACAAAAATGTCGTTCACATAACCTGTCCTGTCTGGATCATCAACTTGTTTTATTCATTAATTACCGGGAGTATAAAATTCTAACTACTAGCAGAACAAGTTTGGAGTTTTACATCCTCAATTGGCAGTCTGTCTTCAGGGAAAGGACATTCAATACTTTTCTCCGGCAACGCAGCGCATGGCTGAGGAGTTACTTTGCTTGAAACTCCCTGAATGTCAGTGCAGTTCCATTGCAGTTCCTTAGGTTTCTGGGTTAAACTTATGTTTACATTAGAAATGCAAATTCCTGTAAAAGGATCATTCTCAATTCCTTCTAGTCTCGCCGAATAGGTTACGTTCTCAGCCACTATATCTTTGTAACTTATTCCTTTGATCTCAGGTAATGCTTTTGGATCATATCCCGTATCAGGGTGTGACCCGTAAGAGCCTGTCATCCAGAAGGCATACTTCATTGTCTTCAGGATCATTCTTCTTACAAAAATGTCCTTCACATAAGCTCCTCTTCCTACAGCAGTCTTGATTCGAACTCCAGATTGGGTACTGAGGGCTGTGATATCTTCAGCTCTAACGTCCTGGATTCCACCAGACATTTCACTTCCAAGAGCAATGGCAGCACTGTCAGGAGAAATGCAGGAAAACCTTCTTATGACTAGGTGTTGCGTAGGCCTTCCAAATTTGATTCCATATTCATCCCATCCACTCTTAACTGCAATGCAGTCATCCCCTGATACTACAAAGGAATCTTCGATACGAACATTTGAGGATGAATCTGAAAAACATATATAAAAGAAGAAGAAGAAGAAGAAGAGGGAAACGATTATGGACAAGTCTGAACACATCAAGCATGAGCAAAAGCTGAAAATAAGAAAATTGATTCAAACCTGGGTTGATCCCATCTGTATTGGGAGAATCAACTGGTGCCAAAATTGTCAACCACTGGATCAACACATTGCTGCATTTTCCAAAACATCAGAACCACAATTACATGCAATCTGCTAAATAATATGCTTAATCATAACTTTTACACAAAGCTGAGCACATCAAAAAGGGTCACACCTGCAATATGTAGGATGAACATTCCATGATGGAGAGTTAATCAATGTAAGGTTGGATATTTGAACCTGATCAGAGTACAGAAACTCAATCAGATATGGTCGAGTCAGTTTCAATTTTTTCTGGTGGAATTTGTCCCACCAAACTGCACCCTGGCCATCAATTGTACCATTGTTACCTAATAAGAACAGCCCAAAGGCACCAAATTAGACATAAATTGGCTAAAGAAAAAAAAAATCAAAATGATGCATAATTTTTCATAACTAGGCCAAAATCATAAAGGTCTAAAGATTTGATTACCAGTGACCACGACATCTGTTAGATGTGTCCCAAAAATCAGACTACTAAACCTTCCAGCATGTTCATCTCTACCTACCCCATAGGAAGGCAATGGAGGGAAAGCAGGCCATTCTGCCTCATCCTGTCAATATGATCATGTAAATGTACAAAAATGATGATGAATATATAGATAAAAAATCAATATATACATATAGATGAGAAATAGTTTAAACAGTTGCCAAGAACAAGAGTTTCCTATCTCATTTGATGATGACAATATCCCATATCAGAAGCCTAATATAAACCTACAACAAGTCTTCCTAGGCTCAGTTTCAGGGCAAAATCCATCCAAGTTTATGGGCTTAGATTGAAGGGTCTAAGGTGTGAAATACTTCTTAAGTAGTAATCACAACCAATCATGTAACGAATCTAATCTAACATTATCATAGTCTTACTTCTACAATTAAAAAATGTTAGATCTGGTTTAAAGTCTAATTCAGTAGAAGTGTCAAAATCATGATTTGATGTCCCCTACTAGCATAAACCGTTTCAAAACCGTCCATGACAACTCAAAAACTGCTTGCAAAGATCGTTAAATTGCTCCTCCACTATTACTTCTTGAAACTCTAGATTAACAGGTAATCAAGAGGCATACCTGAGAAGCAAGAAGAACAGCATCCTTGTGAAGAAAAAGAGTGAAATGGCTACTGAGGTTAAAGCTCCCAGTCAACCATCTTCCTGGTGGTACAATAAGTTGTGCTCCGCCGTCTGCTGCATACTGGCTTAGCTCGGCAATTGCTGCTTTAAAAGCCTTTGTGTTTGACGTTTTTCCATCACCAACTCCTCCAAAATCTGTCAAGACTGCACTATGCTTTCTACAGTTTATTGCTTGGTACTCTGTGCTAGCGCCTGCTAGTGTTGAAACAAGTGATCCCAATATCAAAAATATTGAGATCATTGTCTCCAATATCTGTAAATCATCAATTAAGATTCTATCATTAATTTCAATAATCAGATAATAATAAGGAAAACATGTTCTATGAAGACATTAATCGTCACATTAGTCCACCACTACTGTGAGGTATGATCCTATGCTACATGTTATAGATGAAGAGCAACTGAATGTTTCTCTTGAAAATAAAATGTAGAAATTAAATATTTTTTCAGAGAGAATGTGTAGAGACAGACTACGTACCTTGTAATAACATCTGGATTTGGGACATAACTCCATATTGTATAAGAGAAAGAGAAGACTAATTCAATTTTTTTTGTAAGAAACAATGGGGAGAATTTATAGAGTTTTGCATTAACAAATTAATATTAAGGATAAATGAAATATTCTCCCCATGGGATAATTTTTTTGAGAAATTAACATGGAAATATTTTTTGCAGTTTCTAAAAATACCAATTATATCATTAATTTTAAGTCAATGGTGGCATGTAAGGAAACTAAACATGAGTAGTTTAGATTTTTTATTCACTTTTACAGAAATGTTAAAGAAACTAATTAAAAAAAATTGCTGTTAAAGAAGAAAATATAAGATGAAGATCATAATAATAATTAATATCAAAGATAAAAAATGCGAATTTATGAGCGAAAAAATAAGGAGAGAGAGAAACACATTACATGGGATTTTCTGGATTTTTGGCACAACTCTAACTTCATGTCTCAAAATGGGATCGTGAAATTGCAATTTTCTTGCACAAGCAGGAAGGTTATATGTAAGAGGGCTTTGAATATAATGACTATTTATTAAAAAATAAATAAATCGAGAAGATTTTCTTGGATAAGTGCTTGAAGTTAATTAAACGTGTTCTGTTAAACCTTTTTAAGGTACCAAATTAAGACTGGTGTATTGAAATAAATTGATTTTTCACTTCTAGATTAAAAAGGTTTAATTATTAGTAAATTATTAAATATATTATTCAAAGTTTATAATTGTTTTCAAGAATAATTTAATACAGTAGTATTAACGTATTATAGCAGATTTATCTGACGCATATGTCAGTCATGCAATAATTAGATATCGATATCAGATTTATTATTTCGAGACCATAGAGAAAAACTTAAATCAAATACATGAATTTAATTTAAGATGATTTTAAAAGAAAAGGTGCATTTATGGATTGTTGAGATATCACCATCTATCAGCTTCTAGGTCAAAAGCGAGTCTCCATTGCGCGGTGATCTTTCCGAAAGTGGAGGTCCAGTACAGCTCTAATCCATTCTCTGATGGCGGCGTAGTGGGCTAATTGACTGACCTAAAAGACTAGGCGGCTTCGGCTCCTATAACACAAGACCCGCATTCAATCAGAGAGGCTTTCACTCCCTCGCGCATCTCTAGCCACTTCCTCAGAGGAAAGCGTACGCCGATCTGAAAGGCTAACTAGCTGCCGGAAAGCCTACCGTATAATGGAGCTGGTACTTGTCTCCGTCCCACCTATACCTGAATAGATTTAGATCCATTTCAGCTCTGCAACCCGGGCTAGGCAGTAGTGCTTCATAGAAGAAAACCGCGCCGATCTTTTGTGGTCACTCGCTTGCTTTATGCTTTCTGAACCTGTTAACGTTTAAGAATCCCCTCTTCCTCGCGTAATGTACTGTATTTCTTGATTACCCTCTTCCTCGAAATGCTGTTCATACTTCATGCCAAGCAGATGCTTTGAATCGAAAAGAATGCATGGCGTTTCAACTCCCCATGCACGATTGCATGCATGTTAGGGGGTCTATTTTTCTTAGTCTTATTTCTTTTTATTTATTTATTTTTTAATATAATATAATTTGAAATCTACATTTGGTTGGCTCTTTGGTTTTAAGTTTATTCCATTTGATTTTAAGACTTTCATTTCTTACATTTTTCAGTTGTCAAGGTTAACAAAACAAAATAAATGGAATGAATTAAATCCGTTCATTTCAATGCTACAAAACTTTTTGATAAAATTATTTAGTTTTAAGATATTTAAGAAAATATATCTTTGATCAAATCCTAAACTAGATTTTAAATAAAATTTACATAGTTTTTTCTAAATATGAATATCATTTTAAAACTTAATTTAATTTGGTGGGTTCGCTCCTAATTCGAAGGATTTAAAATTTGAATTAAATTGAATTTTAATAAATAAAAAATAGATGAAAAACCAGCTGTTATGACCCATTCAAAAACTTGGATTAACTAGTGATCTTGTCAGTCTAAAAAAAATCTGATCAAAACTCGATCAAAATTTATTAATGTTTTTATTCTTAATTTTCTTTTAAATGATATCATTTTTATTTTTTTTTATAAAATAAAATTAACTGAAAACCCAGTGCTTATTCCATGTCAACTCAGTGGATCATATTTTAAAAACTATGATACTAGCACCATAAAAGCTTCCCTTAGATAATTAAGAGTAAGCCTAGAACAAGCAAGACAGTTTTTTTCCAAGAACAAAAAAACAAAAACTATACATTTGACAAAACAAGATAAAGATACTTTACGATGGAATCTTGATACAACATGCATATAATTGAAAATTGTTTCTTACTTGGACTCTAAAGCCTTTTTTTTTTAATAAAAAAAAACACAATTGAAATGTCCTAGATTGTGAAACTCAAACTTTGCCCATGACTACTTTCCTGTCATCACCCATGTTGATGTTGTTTATATATACTTTATATTACTGTTGCATATCCGTGTAAGTTAAGACATTCTCATTGAAAGTAAATACTTGATAAAAGTAAAATTAATTAGAAAATAAATTATTAGCACCTGTACAATTTAATATTGTCATCCCTAATAATTTTAACAGAAGGATTAGATTGAAAAATGTATGTATAAGGGGGACCTAATTGATAATCTCGTTAATTGGGGAACTCAATCGAGAAACCATAAATGATCAGGGACTATTATTAGGTTTGCTCAAAAAATATGGAAACTACTCATGTTTATGCATGCTGCGTACAAGAGAAACAATAGGACATGCATGATTTATTGTCATTGTGATCTCAAGGCATAAACAAAATCCAACATTATAATAAATACCGACAAGAATGAAAATTAATGAAAAAACATAGAAAACAGATGAATGATGAGGAATTTAGCCATGAAAAGATATAATTTTAGTAACCCCCAGCTGGAGTTGATGTGGTTTCGGAGGTGTAGAAGAAAGTCCGCATGGAATATAGTTTAATGTTCTTGTTGCTGAGAACGTGGTAAGAAGAAAGGAGGGCTCCATTAGTTCCGTTGTTGACATCTGTTGGGATTTGGCAGGTCTCCAATGGAGATTTTTCAAGGTAGGCCTTGCATTCTTTAAGCTTTAAATTATGGCCAAGACCACCGAAAGGAAACAAGGTTTTGAAGTAGTAACCATGGGCGTCGGCTGCATCAGTCAAGCAGGAGAAACGTGTTGCCTCGTTCCCATTCTGGTCCACCCCCGTGCACGATATCCTTACCTTAGCTCCTGTAGCAAAGAAAAGAATTTGTTTAGGCATTTAGTAAAAAGGTCAGTTTCCTCATCACGTGATGCATAAAATTGATGGAAATTGAGATTGATAGTTAGTTTGAGCTAATTTTGCCCACACTCTTAGATTTTAATAAAAATTGATCTAAAAGTAAAAGCTGGGGGGCCGGAGATTGACTTCCCCGACTGCATGGAGCAAGAAAAAGGTGATCTCTAATTAATAAATGTCACAAATGTAAATTAGCCATGGCATTGACTTTAAAGGATAGAAATTACTACCTTCGACGGGAATATAGTTAGAACCTGATTTACAAAGAATAAGACCTTCAACGCAAATTGGCAGCAAGCTTTCGGGCTCATAACCTGGTTTGCCATGGCTTAGTTTTGGTTTGGGGAGGTGGTGTGGCATAGGGATATAGTGGTAACCATGGTTTGGTATTTTTGGGATGGTCATCTTCGGTAGATCCACGTTTGGTTTAGGGTTATATTTAAAGTCAGGCTTCGGTTTGGGAAGGTCTGATTTTGGGCCATATCCATAACCTGGATAGGAAGTTTTTGGTTTATCATGGCCAGAGCTAGGGATATCATAAGTTGGCTTGGGTTTGGGTGTTGAGACATAACTAGTTTCAGGTTTAACAGTATCAGGCTTTGGTTCATAGCCATAATCAGCAGCAGAGGCAATGACCAACAACGATAACAGGAGGATAAAGGCTGCGCAGAAGAAATAGGATAGAGCCATGGCACCAGAAAGTGTAAGCAGAAGAAAATGTTATGCTAAGACGACGATGACTGTTGATTGCTAATGGATTAGGCTAGTATTTATAGCAAGAAGGGCTCAAATTGTTTTATTAATTTAGGATTTAAAATTGTAAATTGGAGAGAAACTTGGCTGCACATTGGTGAAAGGAATATTATATACAAGGTTGGCTGTTGAATTAATAGACAATGCCTTCACGACGTGCATGATTAAAAAGGTGATGGACAGCGAGTGAGGTTATGGCTTAGCGGGGGAAGGGGCTTGTTTCTTTCTTTTGCACTTGAGTTTGAACTTTACTATGTATGTCTGTCATTCCCGCGATACCTTATCTGCTTATTGGGCTTGCAGGCTGTTCAGTGGGCCGTGGGGATTAGTCGTGGTGCGCGTAAGCTGGCCCGGACACCCCACGTAAATAAAAAAAAAAGTGATGGATAACAGGAGATTAATCATATATACGATGACGCCATTGAAATTAATAACAAATGTTAAAAATCAAAAAAAGAATGGAGGAATACACAGAGAGATATTCAGAGAACATATGCCAGGTTGGGATGGGCATAAACTTCGCTGGCAGATGCCCTGTTTTTCCCAAATCTGGGCAAATTTCCAGTCTCACTCTTTAGATGTTGAAGAATTTCAAAGATATGACAACAAATAATTAAGTAATAATACCCCCTTGCTTGTTGATATTTTGTCTTTGTTCTTCTTCTTTTTTCTTGACATATAACTCTATGTCTTTGGTTTGGATTTATGAAAAGGGTTAGTATTTTGGTTAGGGTTGGAAGGAAGGGGAGAACAAGAGGGCATATTTTTGTTTGATTTGTTTTTTTTTTTTATC